CATCTTAAAGTGGCCAAGTTTGGACAACACTGGTTTACTACAAACAAAAGTAGTTCTCTATCCTTGGCTTGAGACGCCTCCTTCCAATTCAAACCTCGACCTTGCTTGCTATGAAGACTCCACAGGGCCCCTCCCCACTCTGCCTTACCCCTTCCATCTGAAAAATGGGTGTAATAGACCTTCCCCCTCCACCCAAGGCTTCTTACACCTTCAGGGCCAAGGAAACACATCCTTCTGAACATTCGAAGGGACCGGATTAATCGTCCCTCCATTATTCAGACGCCATCGGATCCTCCCTCTACATCGCGACCGGCAGGGCTTACCTCCACAGAAAGAGATGCCCACTAGACCCAGGCTGAGGCACATGGGGATGGAGATCTTTAAGTGGTCCCACTCGGCTGCGTTGTCCCCTGTCCACACAGCGCCTGTACAAAACAGCAATGAGCTGTAACAGCAGCTAAGACACGGTGAGTAGCCACTGACTTTTCCCAATCTACTACCCTTCCGGAAATTTAACACTACAAACCCTATCATCTCTGGTCAGCCTAACCCTGGTTCTGGCACTATTCAATCAATCTACTTCAGGATTAATAACCCTTTTGGGGAAGCCTTTCGATTTGACTAGCTCAATTGCTTCAAACCGAAGAGATCTTTGCTGCATTTCTATCATTCTTCTTTGCATAATTTTTAGCAGTTTAGTTGGGGGTTGATATATGCTCTCACGGAGCATCTTTGACTGACCATTAATAGCATTCAGCTCATTTTTAAACAGCTTTTGGGCGCAGGGTGTCATGGCTGGCGTTACTATTTTGATTTCCAGGGTTTAGTGTCGCTGATCTCCTTGTATTATGAGCTCTCCTGCCATTCCTAGGGAAAACGAGGTCAAGAGAAGTTTCGAAATAAAGAACTATTCACCCCCTGTGGACTTCCTGGCGCCATGCAATAAATCTTTTTACAAATCCCTGAAGGGAGATGCATTACTCAACCATTACAGGTTTAACCATTGCTCTGTGCAAAACCAAGGACATCAGATCTAGCTAGATTTTAGATAAGGCCTCAAATATGTTTCTCCAGGTAAATACAAAATCTTGAAAAACCTAACAGAAGAAAAGATACCAACATATTTCTATTTTCTAATCTGCTTTTCTACTACTTTTTTTCCTTTCGCAATTCTTCTGTTTCTCATATTTTTACTGGAATCTTTTTTTCTTTCATTTTTTTAATTCGTATATTATGAAAAATAAAAATAATTGAATCGAAACCTTGGCCACTTTGAGTAGACTTCAACTCCCAGAATTCTCCTACCAGCCATGCTGGCTGAGGGATTTTGGGAATTGAAGTCCATACATCTTAAAGTTCCCGAGGTTGAGAAACACTGGCCTAAAAAAGAAAAAACCGAATAAAAACTTTCCAGTCCCATTTATAACGAGTGAATTAAGGGAGAGTCTTTTCGAAGACTTGGAGGACCTTTCTTCAACTTTCTCCCATTTGGGCTGAACTGCGATTTATGAGATAAACTGACATCTGACTTCCCCACGGCTGTCTCTTCACAGCCTCCCCACAAGCTCTTCCTTTGAGGACTTGAACATCTGTCCCTCCAATCTTTGGAATGGATTTCTTCCCCAGGCCCAGCTTGGAAGTCTCAATGGGGGACTTTTGCCCAAGATGCAGTTACGCCATCATTCATCTTCACGTGCCCACTACCAACCGTAACGTTGTGAACCCGCAAAGAAGCTTCGGGACAACACAAAGGGCCGCTCCACACCACCAGACCGCTGCACTTGGCCCTGGGCTGTTGCCATTTGCTGCCAGAGATGGGGAGAAAAGATTGTTACCGAAACCGCTGAAACTTTGATCAAGAGTCAACCCAACTGTCTACAGACCCAACCACTCCACAGCCCACAATTTCCCATCGTCCCACACCTCTGTGCACATTCTAGAGACGCCTGCCCTAGAAGGTAGACAGATCAAGAAACAGACGCCACTTAGGCCTAGAACTACTTTTATTAGAATGGCTATAGTAACAGAATTTTGCAAGTCTGAATGTGCTTCCTTTCCTCCCTCTTTTATCTTCTTGTGAATTGGGGGGGGGTCCCTGTCTAAGACCCTTTCATAAACTTCTTTCTTTGTATGGGCTGAAGCCACATTTATCTGTTTGTTGGCTTGGTAATGGGTCTTCCCTCTCTCTGTCAAGGCCATCCTCATTCAACAACTCGCCAGGGTCCTCGGACACGCAGCTCAGGCCAAAGACTCGCTTTGTGATGGCCCTGAAGGAAACAACACTCACCACATAGAAGCCATACAGGTTGTGGATGTCACGATGCTCCCAGCCTCCTTGGTGGACAGCATCCTTGTGCATAGTGACCTCAGGGCCGTTGAAGACAGAGGGCTCATTCATGTCGTTCCAGGTGTAGAGGTTCTCCATGGAGCCCTGTGGTCAAAGGAGAAGTGAGCAACAGGAAGAGGTCAAAGAGTAGAAAGAAGTGTGGAGTCCTTGAGGTGCTCTGAGGTTGGTTGCTTCCTTGCAAACGTTTCATTACCCAGCTAGGTAACATCTTCAGTGTTAGAAGGGAGTAGGGTTTGCTCTGTTAGTAGAAAGAAGGCCTGCACAGACCAGGAAGATCCCTACCTCGTATTGGTCGTAAGAAAACATGCTGGACCACCAGGTACGCATCTGGGGGTTAGTGAAATCCGGGTAGCCTGCTGAACCTGAGCACAAGGAGACAGAGAAAGGGCTTAGAGTTGAGCTGAGTCTTCTTCTCAATGGGACAGCTGATTGTTTGGTCCAGACTACTACCCAAGGAAACATTGGGGGACTGATAGAAACGTTTAGAATTCTGAGCACTTTTGGGAGTGTGCCCCTTCATAAAATGGGTAAAAATGCCAATGTGGGGGTTTCTCATCCAAAAGATGAGGAGAAGGTTAGGATTTAGCTTTCCTGGCTCTAGAAAGTCCAACAGGGGCAAAAGAAGTTGGTCACCAGCATCTTGGAGGCCCACCAGCGCCATGCAGCTTACTCCCGACAAAGGGGCTGGCTCAGACTCCAGGAAGAAGCCAACCATCTTATAGCTATTCTCACCTGGCCAACACCAGCCTTCATAGTCATTCCCATCCTTGGTTTTGACGTAAAAGTCCCGGGAGCGAATCTCATTGTGGACTCGGTAGCCGGTATCAACTTTGATATGTGGGTCTACGATGCTCACCATCTGCATCAGGGGGAAGGACAAATAACATGATTGGGACGATGGAGTAGGTGGCTTAACATACCCATCTCCTTGAAGACCCCATTGAGGGAACCGCTCCTACTTTGCCAAATCTATGTCTAGTTGGGGTTCTAGATCCTGCCTATGCCTGGAATGTCCAAATTACAGTCCAACTATGGGAGGCTCAGAAACTACCACGCCCCAGGAAGGCCTGTCAGTTGGAGCTTTCTTCCGGTACCTTCCGCCTCTTGGCTGCCAGCTGCTGAAGCATCTCCCGGGGATGGGGGAACTTGTTGGGGTCCCAGGTGAAGTAGCGCTTGCCGTCAGTGTGTTCAATGTCCAGCCAGATGACGTCATACGGGATGTCGTGCTCGTCAAAGCCGTTGTCCACTGTGTTCACATCCTCTTCGTCGTTATAGTTCCAGCGGCTCTGGTGATAGGCCAGGGCAAAGAGTGGAGGCAGAGCCTGGGTGCCTGGAGAAGCAGAAACACACGGCTATGGACCTGCTACCACGTTCATACATATAGAGGACACTGCCATACATTGATTGTCAAGTGCCTAGGTAGCCCTCACTTAACAACCACAATAGGGACTGGAAAATTCGTTAAGCGGGGCAGTTGTTAAGCAAGTTGCGCCTGATTTTATGACCTTTTTTGCAGCAGTCATTAAGCGAATCACTGCGGCCATTAAATAAATCACGTGGCTGTTAAACAAATCATGCAGTTCCCCATTGATTTCGCTTGCTGGAAGCTGGCTGGGAAGGTCGCAAATGGCGATCACGTGACCCTGGGACCCTGCAACTACTGTAAGCGCAAGCTGGTTGCCAAGGACTTGGATCGGTATCATGTGACTGCAGGGGTGCTGTGATGGTTGTAAGTGCGAGGACCGGTTGTAAGTCCCTTTGTTCAGCACTGTTGTAACTTTGGTCACTAAACAAACGGTTGTTAAGTGAGGACTACCTGTATATTGGCGTCTCATTCAAAACCGAGGCCTTGCTGGCATTCTCAGGTTGCCACCTTCACCTTCGGTCTAATAAATATTCTTAATCGGGGCTCCTAATTTTCTCATTCTTTGGATTGTTTCCAGACAAGGTTTCCTCATCTGAACAAAGGGAAGATACCAAGTACCTCCAGATGCTTGAAAGCAGAATTCAGAGGAACAGGCAGGTTAATGCCAACCTCATTTCTTTTTGCCTCTGTTGTTTGTCCTCAAGATCTCCTCTCTTCCCACCCAACTCACCTGTGAGGGATGTGTACTGCTTGAAAATGTCAGTAGGTGAAGGTCCCAGCAGTAGGAACACATCTATAATTCCGCTCTCTGACATCCAACGAACATCTGTCTGGGGTGTTTCTCCTCCTCCTTGTATGTAATCCAGCATCTTCCCAAACAGGGTCTGCAGGAGAATTTGGGCAGGGAACCCTTCTTCGTTAGTCCAGCCAGACACTATCTGTGATTCCTATCAGCTCACACACTATTTTCCCCCGTTCCCCTCCCTGCGCCTGCCCACACTTCTTCCTCTGCAGCCAAATTGACAGTGGTTTGCACATCACACGAAGCCATGGTTTGATGAATAACCACAACTCATCAGGTTCATCTGTAAAATTAAGCCTCTTATATGGGCGGGTTTGCCCAACAGGTGGAAGCAAAACCAAACAAACCAGGTTACTGCAAGATGTCTATCAACTCTTGCTGTGGCCCCAATCACAGGACACCACCCAGACCCAAGTACCATCAGAGTTAGCATCTGCTCTGAATTTAACCCCAACTTGGCATCGTTTATTTATAGAAATCCACAAAATACAAGCAAAACATCAAAATATACTAAAAAAAGGAACGACCCTTAAACTTAAAAAAACAACAACCCTACCTTATATATTAAATTTATCGACAGTATTGGTTTACTAATAAATACCAACTTGGCCTCCCTAGCAGCAACATCTGGTGGTTGAAAGCCCAAGACATTTTAATAATTCTAGACAATGTCTCAGAACTATCAACCATTGTGGGTAGCTAAAACAACTGGATATTCTATACTCGGTTTTACAGCATTTCCATTATTTTGTAACCTCCTTATGTTGTCTGGTACTGCAAAGTGGATGAAAGGTGGGACGAGTCGACATTTTAATATTTCTGTAGAGATACGTCCTCTGTAACCAGGACAAAACTCAGCAGGCTAATGAAGGAGAGGTGAAGAAATTCACCACTGCTGTCAACCCTCTCACTCACTTGAATAAAATCCCAACTGCTCACCTGTACAGAACTTTAGGTTACCATAGGTGACTAGGGAAACTGTCATATACTAGGCCTCAGCCAGACCCACACTTCATACCTTGCCAGCTGTGTTGGAGGTGATATCCACCCAGGTCTCGGCCGCATTGAACCAAAAAATGCCTAGAGTGCGCTGGGCGGTGTGAGCTAACAACACCGGAACCGATCCGTAGAGAGCCATTGGATTGTAGATTTCATACTGGAAGACGTCTAAGTTATAGAGGCGGTATGGATCCCCTCCCCTGCCAAGCATGTGATAATTAGAAAGAGCAGAGAAAATTGCATAAAGGATTCTAGATTGCCATTCCCCCCACCGGCAGCATGATAGTTCCTCAGAGAATCCCACCATCTAAACTGTTAGATGCCTGCCATCTTCCAACACCAATTTTTCCAGTCCTACCAGAAATGGCCCCTTGCCAGCACCCCCATTGACCCCCCGCTCACTCGGTGGTTCGAAGACGAAGGTTGTCTGCATGTTCTGGAATGCCATATACGTTCTCCACTCCCGGGAATGAGAAATCAAGTCCTACCGACGTTGGCCCTGTAGAACAAGGAGATGGGAAGAAAAAGAGCTGGATGGCCACCAAGTTCTTCTGGGTGAGGTCACTCTTGATATGCCAAAGCGTGCTTCATCTTCTGATTTGAAGGGATCCCACTTGATAAACCCCAGTTTGCAAGCAACCATCAGGCCAGAATGTGAAACTACAAGCTGGTTTGTGAATCCCAGTTAAGCACCTTGAGGTTTGGTGTTACATTAGAAGTCACACACCACAAAGCAGGATATTGGTTTGCCTGCGGTATTTTATTTCCAGGAAACTAACCAGGACAATTCTCCAGGGAAGAAGGAAAATTCCCTAACCGGGGCTTGTTTAGGGAATCCAAATAATGGTGGCCAGTAGTGCAGAAAAGGAACGTAAAAGTTTTGTTCGGGGCCTGACTCTTGTAAGAAATATACTTGTTGCTCTAAAGCCCTTGTGATCCCCAGTCACCAGTTATAAGAAGTATTCTACCACTGAGATCCTGAAAGAATTAAAAGTAAAGTGTAGCCTTATAGATTTAATAGCAGCTTTTCTTTAGTAATGTCTCGAAGAATCATTGCCTGTTTATCAAGAGCAGCAGGAAGAAAATTAATGACAGTCACAAAAATGAACATGCAAAATTAATGACTTGTTCAAAGATGCAGCTTGATCCAGTTCAGCGTTCCCAAGCTCAGCAAGTTTAAGATGTGTGGACTTCAACGCCCAGAATTCCCCAGCCAGCAAGGCTGGCTGGGGAATTCTGGGAGTTGAAGTCCACTCATC